GGGATTGTAACACCACCCTTACCCAGGTCATATCCCTGATCCAATGTAAAGGGAGTTTCCCTAGGGTGTGGCCTGCACCACCTTTTACCTTACAAGAGATAAAACGAAAGGGAAGCAAGCAGATAATTGGGGACCTCTTATCATCAAGAAAGCAGTGCCGGGAGCAGAGGGTGTCCTTTGGAGCGGGGTCCCTGCGCTGAGAAGCTTCTAGTCCGGTGGAACACTGAAGAGAAGAAGGCCGACAGAGAGAAAAAGCCTTCCCCTGGAGCTGATGCCCTGAATTTGGACTTTTAGCCTACTTTGACTGTGAGGACATAAACTTCTCTTCGTTAAAACCATCCACTTGTGGTGTTTCTGTTATAGCAGCACTAGATGACTAAGACATGCTCTTGAAGTTACAAACTCCTAATAAAAATCACAATTTAAGAATTGTTAGATGAATAAAGTGGAATGTTAAAATTGTAATGCAATGTAATGGCTGTTGTGTAAATAAAGTGCAAAATCAAATCTCTATATAGAATAAAGATTGGAAGGAATTAGGCCAAAAAGAGTTCAAAATTTAAGCAGCGTTTATCTTAAGGTGGTTAGAATATTCATGAGGAAAATTTTTTTTTTTCTAATTTTCTATGTGTCTTGTATATGTGTATGTAGATGTGTATGTATTACCTGTATCCTGAAAAAAAAGTAAGATAGAAATTATTTATTTACTCATAAAAATAGTCACCAACGGCAGTCTCAAAAAGAAATAGAAATCACCATAAAGATAATGCACATTTTAAGGGATACTGCTTAAAGGTGGAGGAGGAAAGTAAAGTTACCCACACAGACTGGAAGCTGGTAGTGGCAACAGATCAGGTGCTGCCAGTATATACAAATCTGTTTTCCTTTAAATGCAGCTCAGCTGCCCGCCGTCTGAAATGATTGCTTCATTGCGCCTGCCTTTAGCGTGGCTCTCAGGACAGAAGCTAGGGGCAAGTCTCCGCGTGTAAAGCGTTTGAAACTCAGGCAGATGACCTTTGCCTGGTGATTGAATTTCTATAAAGCTTATCGTAAGGTGGGTATTGAAACACTGCACCTAATTTTATTCCCAGTACTCTAAATGCCTTTTCTCATTTACTTGCTTTTTAATTCCCGTTTGTTTCTGAGGCATACCATTGACCTTTATTGGTAGAGCGTCGGTTTTTAACCTGTCTGAGAAAAAGAAAAAGATTTTTTTAATGTGGATGCGTATAAAATTCTTCCACAACAACAAGAAAAAACAAAACAAAACAAAAGGAAAAGCTAACAGAAACATTAAAAAACAAAATAAGGCAGTGTAAGGCAAGGTAGTCATAAATGAGTTACGTTCTACCTCGTGGTTTTATCAGCCAAAATCAAACATCATTTGGTTATGATGTTAAGAAAGGGTCAGTCCAAAATGACAAAGTGCTTTAATCCGTCTTAAATCCTTTTTGGAACAAGATAGGGTCCAGTGAATTATTTTAAAGGAGATTTGTAATTTTTCTTCTTCCTCCCTCCCTCCCAAGTTGGAGATTTCTGATATTACTTAGTTTCCCAATGTCTTTCTTTTTTTAGAGTCAACAATGTGTTTTATTATACATCTTAAATTTATGCATTTCATGTCAGTTTTTTAAAACTTGAATTAACAATTTAATCCAAAATAAAAATACGCATATACAGCAGTGGTCCTCAGACTCAAGAACTTAGGTGGAGGAGAATAGAGCCTGTTTTTCCCTAGCGTTTAGTGAGTATTATGAGCCATGATAGAAGATTGTCTCCTGACCTAGTTACCACGTTGATTGCATTTTATGCTAGTGAACAGCCTTAGTAGGTATGATACTGTTAATTGGAAACAGATTTAAAGTAAGTTTATAACCTGTATTTTCTTGAAGCCTTTAAGATTGAAAGGATTACTTTTCTTCTAGTAGAGCTGTAAGATTGTCCAGTGAAAATAATAATGGCCATAAAGTATCCAGAACGTCAGCTTTAGAATCATTGCCCATAGTTATTCATTGTCTCCAGACCTCAGAGGTTGGTACATTTTACCTCAGTTGCTTCTCTGTAGCCCTTGAAAGTGCTGTCCTCATTTCGTAGCATCTTCGTCTGGCTTCCCTTTGCTGGCTGAGCAGTGCTCTCTGAGGGTCCTGCACATGCCATAGCCCAGCTGCTTGCACATACAGTAGCCCGCCTACTTTACCTGTTGACTGAAACTTGGTTGAATATTCTGAAAAAGAGATCAACAAAAAATCCACCTGTTCTTTCTGAAATCCCTTCTAATAACTCCATTGGTTTAGCTGCTAAACCAAGGTGTCAAAATTAGGTCAGCAGACAAAGCTGCGGCCCATCCATGCCTTTCTTCCCAGCTACGGAGCTTTCTGCTTTACCTGTAATGTAACGCATTAACTCTCTGCCCGGTGCCTCGCAATTGTGAAGTACTCTGGCTGGTTGGGAGGTGCTGTTAAGTGAAAAGGAAACCCATTAGTTTCTGTAAGTGGATCCAAGTTAATGATGTTGCAGCAAACAGGTCCTTACAGGTCAGGGTCTGGAGTGTGGTTATCTCACTACCAGCAGCTCTCTGGTATCTTTTAATTTTTCTCATAATCATGTTATAATTACAAAGTTCTCAAGCTAACTTGAATTTGCATTTTTTTTTTTTTTTTTAATAAATAAATCTTTTAATCCCACGGTTTATGAAAACAGCTCTAGGGAGAAAGGCAAGACAAAAAGGTCTTAATGCTTTCTGGCAACGAGTGAAGTCATGTCACTGAATAATTACAGAATAAAATATAGATAACATAGCACTTTGTTAAAATACAGATTCCTGAGTTCTGTCACCCAAGATCCGGATTCAGTAGCCCTGGGGTTAGGCCCAAGAATTTGCATTTCATAAAGCTTACGAGACCCCATCTTGAGTAGCACTATCATAAACCTGTTGCTGTCGAGTTGCTTTTGACTCATAGCCACCCTGTAGGACAGAGTAGAACTACTCCATAGGATTTCCAAGGAATGGCTGATAGATTTGAACTAACTGCCTTTTGGTTAGCAGTCAAGCTCGTAACACTATGCCACGAAGGCTCTAGCACTATCGTAGTGAGTTATAATTATGTAAGCTTGATAGGTTAAATTAACCTACTATGACAAACACAGTTTACAATTTTACATGCCCACTTATATCAAATGTCACTTCTTGGCACAAAGAGTTATGATTTCAAGAATACAAGTCATTAGTCCAAGGAATGAAAGTGAAATAAATGTTTTAATGTTAAAGGAAGCATTTTGTCCTTCTTAACCAGTCTTAGACACAAACTCAACTTTCCAATGGTGAGATACAAAAAAAGTATACATTTAACTTAAATTTTATGGTAAAGAGTATGTAAATATTTGGTAATCTTTTCCATATCTACCAATATGTAATGGCTACTTTAGTGCTTTGCTTGCAAAACTGCTGTATTAACTCTTGTCTCTTCTTTTAAAAAATCCCCATTAAACTGCTAATTAAGGCTTGTAGCCTCTGGCTTCAGTTACAGTTTTCTAGCCATGGTTGAATTAAAGAACATAGGTCTTAAAACTTTCTATTTCCGCACAGAGGAGTTAAAAATTATCTGCACTTGTCTTTCATATGTGAATCCAAATGCTAGTTTAGAAGGAGTGTTTTTGACGTTCTTCCTGGTTTTTCCCATTCTGTTTCTGAGAAAAGT